ATTTAAATTTAGGAAATTGAAGAACTGCTAATCCTCATTGCAGGCACTTAGTGAGGCTGTTAATAATGACTGAGGTCAAATCCCAGTTCTTCCCTTTATTGGTTATATTGCCTGGGGCCAATTATTTAACTTTTCTGAATCCTTATTCTTAAAATCAAGATAATAATACATAAATGATACCTAGTGTTCCTAATATTTAACCTATGCAATAGTTTATAGACAAGTTTTATAGTTATACCATACCAATAAAAAAAGGATTCCTACTGCAACTGCTCTATAAATGTCTCACTCACAACTGTACAGTACACAGCTTACAGGCATCTATTCAATATTAATAATCTTGAAGACAGTACTGCCTGAAAGATAAGCATATTCTTATAAAAAGTCTTGCTTTCTCAGATTGCAGAGTTTAATAGATGTTCGTATGCAAAGTAAATAAAATATTCAAAGTGGGGATAACAGTCTGTATCTTGCTCAGGAGTCCTGTGAAGAGCAACTGGTAATGCACGTAAAAGCATTTAGCATGACGAGCAGTGGTGCCCACGAGACGTAACACAAACCACACGTGCAATTAATATTTTCTAATAGCCAAGTTAGAAAAAGGAAAAAGAAACGGTGACATTTCAATATTTTATTTAAACCAACATAGCCAAATTATTATCTCAACATGTAATCAAAATAAAAGATTAATAAAGTATTTTACTTTCTTGTGTTTCATACACACAGCACAGCTCACGACCACCTGTTTTGGTCCTGTGTTCAGTTCGACAGCCCCAGTGAGGCAGTGGTGGCCACACTAGCAAGCAGCACATGTCAGCAGACAGCAAATCTGCCGCTAGTGAGTGGCAGCTGGTATTGTCATCATCAGACTCCATTTCAGGGTCATTCGTACACCCACCAAGGAGAGGCGATCAGCTTGCACATGACACACGCCGCCGCATGGTGCACACAGCAGCTGATATGAGCCACACTCACCTGGCTGACCCCGATAGACTGACTGCACTGCGAGGACGACAAGCTGCCTAGGACTTTGAAGTTCTTCAGGAGTAGCAAAAACCCAGCAACTGCAGACTTCCTGGCATCAAGCTGGCTAGCTCAGGAACAGACCATGAAAAAGTTAACAAACAGGACTAACCTCACAGGTATAGGCTCTGGTCAGAAAATCCAGTTAGTCCCACAGAGGGGAAATAAGTGTAAACAAGGAAATACAGAGCAAAACAAGGTGAACTTATGTATACCTTATTTCATGAAATAAGGCATCAGCTGCTCACAGCGATTAGCAGCACAGAGATTCAGCTGAGCTATTATCTCTGTAACTCACGCCACTGCTTTATTCTACCTGCTGACAGGTGAATGTGGGGCATGAGAACAGAGTGCTGAGAGGCAGCATGATGGGCTAGTAGTGCAAACGTGAAGGGTTGAATAGACAGGATTTCTTGTCTGAAGGAGCACGCCCCTTCTTCCTATAATGTCGCCTTATAAACCTTCCATCCAGAAAAAGGATACACCAAGTTTACTGAGGCATGACTAATTCATGTTCTAAAGGCTGCAGTATACACCCTGGCCTATCAGACATGCCTGGGAAGAGATTAACAAAAGTTCATTAATTCTGGCTCCTCTGGAGAGCCATGAGCACATTACAGTATGGCCAGACACCAACTGGGTATCTTATACAAACAAAAGCTTCCCACGTGTGACTTGTCTTAGTGTTTTCTTAGATGGTTTATCATCTCTAGCTTATATCTAAGAAATAAGGGAAGAGAGATTTAGAAGTACTGGCTGAGCCAAAAAAACCCCTCCACGATACCTTGACAATTTCTTTTATCTATAATCACTGGACCATGATTTTGAAATTCACTAAAGTTTAAGGGGTTTTCCTCTTCAGAACTGTTTACAGTTCTCATTTCAAAGTACTTGGCAATGGAACATAGCTTGAAGGATACTCTAGAGTACACCGCAGAATACCTGAGATGGCACACTCAAATCCTAGCGCCGCCACCACCTGTTTGACCCTTGGAAAACCACTTAGTCTCCTGTAACAAGGGAACTATAGTCACTCATGGTTCCTAAACCTGCTTGGAGACTGCATGAGATGAAGCACATACAACACTGGGCACACTGGCTTCTTCCTCTCAGGTTAGGCCTCTGAGTGACCGCTGTGAACAGCTGTGATACTAGGAGATGGCAGAGGACTTAATCAACACCGGAAGGCATCACCCCCACATTATCATGGGATGCTGCTTACCTGGCAAACATAGCTTTCCGAAGGACAAGTATCAGGGAGTCTCTCACTGATATGCTGACTTTGAGAAGGGGCTAAAAGAGGAAGAATCAGTAGGTAAAACCAGAACAAATTTATTGGCCTTTGCTCACTTCTATCCCATGCCACTACCATCTGGCTTATACAAGGAACTTTGATTTTGTTTTATATATATGTTTCAATGTTTACTACACTTAACTAATGACATAGTATAATCTGAAATACTAAACTGAAATTTGTTGTGAATGACTTTACATTTATTGTTCTCAGTAATTTTCTAAGAGCATTTCAATTACTTCACTAATGAAAATAAGTCAAAAGAGAGTAATGCCATAAAGAGAAAGTAAACTTGCAAAACAGTTGAGCTCAATGCTAAACTCTTTTAATTTCAAGTTTTGTGTTTTCAATTAAGGGAAACAGGATTTCTTAGACATCAGATTTCCACTTTCAGTTCAACCTCAGTTTGGCAAGCACCATAGGAGTCAGAAAATTTACCTGCACTGCCTTCAGTAGCCCTTGCACAGTTTGAAGGGGCAGAAAGCACAAATAATCAAAAGCTTCTGTGACTTTAGAAGAACAACTTTGAAGAACTAAAGGTGCATACATGATGATATTTGAAAGCAGGTCTGAAAATACAAAATTTCTAGTCAGTTGCCTCCAATAATGAAATATTTCAAATAAACGAAAGAAATATGGAGAAAAAAATGACATAACTGTTCTTGCTTCCCTTCTCAAAGAAGTTAATCATACTGCAGTATAAATTTCTACCGATACTATACACTTTCTCTACAGTAGGTGTGACCAGGACATTTAACATTGGTCTGTGATAGTACATGACTACAAAAATTAAACTGAAAGGGCAGAAACCTATTGCACTGCCCAGCCAAGTAGCATACACAGTCTTCACATATCCAAGCTAAGTATTTATGAACACTCATTATGTGCAAGTGTAATATGGACCTATAAGAAGCATACAATAAAAGCATAAATTCTTTTAAAAGATGAAAGAAGTAAATACAAAATACAAATATCTAATAATCTCAGACATGGTTTATTGCCTAGCAAGTGCCAGACTAGTTTTTTTTTCTTTCAGGCACGTGTGTGTGTGTGTGTGTCTGTGTGTGAACTGGGATGTAGGCCACAGGCGTGGAGGGTGAGAGGATTCACCAGAGACACAGTGGAGAGCAGAACAGGTAGATCTACTGAAATCCACTGCTGAGGGGAGCAGCAGGCAAGAAAGAACAGGTCTGCTGCGCCTGGGGTGGGTCACCTCCTGGGCCTGAGATTGAACTCGGGTTGATTGAACTCGGGTTGTAGTGGTGATAGCACTGAGACTTAACCCCTAGGCCACCAGGGAGGCCTTTGTTTTGTTTTGAAATCAGTAAAAGAAGCTGCAGTGATGTAAGCAGTAGTAAGTTTGTGCATTCGTCCTTTTTGTTTAAATACATTTTAGGGGCCTCCCCGGTGGCGCAGCGGTTGAGCGCTGGGTTGCAAAGCTGCCTGCAGCCTCTGCAGCGCCGATTCGACCCCTGGCCGCCGGGCGAGGGTCCCACATGGCGCGCAGACCTCTCCACAGACCCTGCTTCCCTCAGCAGTGTACTTCGCCAGTCTGCCTGTTCTGTTCCCTGTTCTAGCTCTGGTGAATTATCTCACCCTCCCATGCTTCTGACTGTATCCAGTGCTTGTATAAATAAATAAATAAATCTTTAAAAAAATACATTTTACATTATCACACTGCTGGCACACCTTATTTACATGAAATTCTGTACCATACATTCTAATTGTAGTGAATTTCCCCCTCTCCCCATTCTCAGGGGAGGGAAAAACTCCCAGTCTGAAGAACTGGGGTGCAGGCCAGAGGTGCGCAGATTAAGAGGACCCACTGGAGTCAGAGTGGGGAGCAGAACAGGCGGACAGACTGAGACACATTGCTAAGGGGAGGAGCGGGCAAGATGGGAAAAGTCTGCAGCACCATGGGGGTCAGCTCCCTGGCTGGGGGATCAAACCCAGGCCACAGTGGCTGGCAATAGACTGACAGTGCTGAGACTTTAACCCCTGTACCACCACAGAGGCCCTGATATGAAAAAAATCTTAAAGGCAGTCAAAGAAATTACACAGAAAGGAACAAAAAATAAGCGAGCAGACTTCTATTGGAAATAGTGAAAGCCACAAGACAGTAAAGTAACATCTTTAATAAAGAAAAAACCTCAGGGGCCTCCCCGGTGGTGCAGCGGTTGAGCGCTGGGCTGCGAAGCTGCCCACAGCCTCTGCAGCGCCAGTTTGATCCCTGGCTCCTCCCTGGCCTCCAGAGGAAGGTCCCACATGGCGCGCAGACCTCTCCTGCCGCCCGCTGCTCCCCTCATCAGTGTACTTCGGTCCTTCTGCCTGCTCTGTTCCCCGCTCTGGCTCTGGTGAATTCTCTCACCCTCCCGCACTTCTGACTGTACCCAGTGCTTGTATAAACAAATGAATAAATCTTAAAAAAAAGAAAAAGAAAAAACCTCAATGTACAATTCTATACTAAGCGAAAAAATCTTCCAAAAAAATACAAAATAGACATTTTGTGATATACAAAAGAATTCATGAACAGATCAGCTGTATAAAAAATGTTATGGTGAAAGAAGTCAGACTGAAAAGTATGTAAGATTGCATTTCCATAAAATTCAAAAAATAACATCTACAGTGATAGACAGCAGACCAGATTGGAGGCAGAAGAAGAAACAAACTATTATGGGTATCAGAGAACATATCTAAGAATATTTCAGGGGAGTTGTAAACAGTGATGGTCACTATGGAAAGACGACTCCATTTCGGTGTGAGGAGGTGTGTATTAAATTCAGAGATCACTAAAGAGAGGAGTCTGGCATCGGAATCCCAAGGGTTAAGACAACGGAAGGTCCTGAGTGGTAGAAACACTGTGCTCATTTGTTCAGATGTATTAAGACAAAAAAAAGAGAAAGTTGATTCCAGAGACAAGTTCAATAACGAGTGATATGTCTGTTTGTTTCTTGATAACCACAGGGAATATAAGCAGACACATATTACTGGCGTCATAATCAAAGATATAAGATAAATTATATTATTAAAAAATTCTCTCTAAAACCAAAACATGGTATTTAAATAAACATTTTCTGAGGGTTTGATCTACTCTGAGTTCAATACCTAAAAATGGCAGATGGGAGAGGATGTTCTGGTAACAACCCTGTTGAGGACTTGCTCCAGAATTTCTTGTCTGATCATCTCATGGATCTACACAAGAACAAGAAGAAAAAACAATAAAGTAACCTTTTGTCACCTTCAGTTTACAAATGCATGTTAGACAGAATAAACAATCGGGATAGGGGTAAAACTCAACTGCTTATGTCAAAGACAAACATAACAGGAGTCATGTGTAGAAAGAATCACTTCACTCTGCCCTCATTCCATGTTCAGACGACTCCACAGCTGGGCCTGCTCATTGGCTTACAGCACAGACCACAGGCAAGCTTTACTACACACGGGGTCCAGTACCACACTGGGCAGCTCTACTTGAGTGTCCACCACACGCCAACGTCCATGTTTGTAACAGTACGTGTAACTTTAATTTCAAATTTTAAAGGTCCATGAAAATTTCTGGAAACCGGACCTCCCTGGTGGCGCAAGGGGTTAAGACGCAGCTACCACCAGCCACTACAGCATGCGTTCAAACCCCAGCCAGGGAGGTGACCCACATGGCACAGCAGATCTCTCCTGTCTCCCCACTGTTCCCCTCAGCAGTGGATTTCAGTGGCTCTGACTCTTCTGCTCCCCACTTTGTCTCTGGTAAATCCTCTCACCCCTGCACCTCTGGCCTGCACCCCAGCTTTTGTATGCATAAATAAATAAATTAAAAAAAAAATTCTGGGAGACTACCTGTTAAACTTAGTGGTAAATTATTTGCTCTAGAGATGTCTTGACAAAGTCAACATCTATGTGAAATCAAGCAGAACTATCTAAATTTTAAAAATATTTAAAAACAAAAAACCATTAATGTCTCTTATTCTAGGAATATTTTAAGTCAGTTTACTGTTAAGAAGAGTCATGTATATCCTGTAACACACAACTCTCAAGGACTAGTGCAAGCAATCACTCCCAGTTCTGTAGCACAACCCTAACTTCACATGTAAACTGGCCCTGAGTAATATTCTTAGGAGGCACTTTCGGAACGCAGCTATACTACATAACAGAATGTCGAGAAGATGACTTAACGGAATCACTAGCAAGTCAAAGTTTAGTTCCAGATAACTTTTTTCCTAAAAGATTTATTTTATTGGTTTATGCATACAAGAACTGGGATCTAGGCCAGAGGTACAGGGGTGAGAGGATTCACTGGAGACAGAGTGGGGAGCAGAACAGGCAGATGTACTGAAATAGACTGCTGAGGAGACCAGTGGGCAAGACAGAGAGGTCTGCTGCGTGGTGTGAGTTAGCTCCCTGGCTGAGATCAGGGATCTAATTTGTGCTGCAGTGGCCAGCAATAGCTCGCTAGCACTGATACTTACCCTGTGCCACCAAGGAGACATCCCTGAAAGATAGCTTTTTGCATAGGGGAATACCATTAAAAAAAGAAAAACCAGGAATGATTTATTGCAAGAGGAAGAGAAAATCATGAGAAAACAAAATCATATTGAAACTTGTAAGAAATGGCCAGATACAACTGAATCTAGTGTGGAAAACTTACATAAAATAAAGGATAAGAAAGTAAATAATCCATCAAACTGGATCTATAGTATTCCAACACTATGCCAACCTCTGTTCCCAGAAACGGCGACAGACTAAGATGCCCTTGTCACCCAAACTCCCAGGCAAATGCCATGCATGCCGTATTCATAATATAATTTCACAGAATTAGGGAATGGTTGCCAAACCAGTCTCACCTTAAAAGTCTCCAACAGGATATTAGCTCCCAGCTTACATGCCTGCTGGTTTGGCATTTTGGGTTCTATTGGTTTTCCATCAAAAATTTTCTTTGGTCCATATGAATCCATTAAAATGAAGCCAAGTTCAACAAGGCCCTGAGTGACATGATCCCAACTATGAACACTGCAAGAAGACAAAGCTTAGTTAAAAAGAAAACTTAGTGGTTACCTTACTTTGTATGTATTGCCAAGTTGCACATTGCCCAAACTTGACATGTAAATTCAATGTAAATCAGAATTCCCAGACCTGAAATGAGATCTACCTTAAAATTATGGTTTAAATAATAAAACTCAAAAAATATATTTAATCCGTAGACAAAGCATCACATCATAAGGACTACTACCCAGCCAATGCATATCCTAAAATTAAAATAATAATCAGGATGGTTACTAGTCTTTTCAGCTTGACTTTAAATGGGTTTGTCTAAAACTGCTAGTCAACTGTGTAAAACTGCTACTTACAAGCATCAGCACCAAATTTCAACAAATCCGGAAATTTTTTTTTTTTTGCTCATCTAAATGTCAATGAAAACTCAAGCCAATAAAAAGTTGTAATATCAGGAAAGGAGTAAAAATATCTATTTCGGTTTCATACTCTCGGCCAAGAAATCAGGTCTTAGGATTTAAGAACGTTTCAAGACAGAGAAAGTCAGTTTGACGAACTTTAAAGGACTGAACCTTGACAGGTGAAGCCCACAGTTATAGTTCCTGATGGCCATAAGTAAGAACCTACTAGAACACGGTTCACCAACTCACCTACTCTTTACCACTTCCAAGATCATGGCTGAAACACACGTTCTATGAGGGACTAGATTTTGTAGAAATTTTGATCCTTGGAGAAGCTGAAGATCCTTAAAGCTTTTTATAACCAAAGTCTTTAAAAGGTCAAACACCTAATATAATGAAAGAAATGGGAAAATGAAGCAAAAATGACAGCCCATACTATAGAATCTTAACCCTGTGGAGCTGCATCTACTTGCTGCCACACACTCTGAGCCCTGCAACTCTTCACTAAGTATGATACAGAAATGATGACTGCCCATGGGAACTTGAGTTGAAGACAGGCCTTCCTTAAGAGAGGAAATGGACTAAAAATCAGTATTAATATTACTCACACCATAAAATACACGAGTAAAAAAAGGAGTAAAGCATTTTGTATTTTCATCCTTGAAACTACCCTATGTTAAGTTAATTACAACTCCATCAGGAACAAGTTCTTGGAAAGTTACAACATAGTAATTTCGCAAGTGACTATTCTGCTAAAATTCTGTTCTTGCTACTTAACTGTGTGATATTTTCCCACTCTTATTCCTATCCTACCACCTGGTTGACCACACAACTGGAAATGGAGGCATAAACCAAGTAACTAGAGACATCTTCAAACAGCCCGCTAGCACAGTGTGGGCCTAGAAGTCTAGCAGAGGAATGTACTGCTGGCTGCATGGGAACAGCTGTTTAGGAAAGGATGGCCTAAAAACAGCCTGACTTCCATTGAAACATAGAAGGAATCAAAAAATCATTAGTAAGTACCTGTTCCTCAAATCTTTGTATTCTCGTTACCGAGAGCAGGAGGGCAATGCTGAAGGGACATATATTATTACTGAAATCTCCTTGCTGTTCAGCCTAGAACGGATAAACCAAAAAGAAGTCATTACATTTTCAAAGTCTAACAGAGTAGGTCCTTCAATGGGTCAGAGACACCGAAATATGAGAACTAAAACTATAAAACGTTAAAGGAAAACACAGAAAATCCTTAAGACCTTAGTTTAGGCAAAGATATCATAGCAATACTACTAAAAACATAATTTCTGTAAGAAAAAAAAAGGATAAATTGGACCTCTTTGAACTTTAGAACTTCTGTGTTTCAAAAGACACCAGTAAGAAAATGAAAAGACAGGCCAGATGAGGGAAAAAATGTATTTGCTAAAACTACATACGTGATATAGGACTTGTACCCAGAATGTACAAAGAAGTCTGACAAGTCAATAAGATACACAAACAAAAAATGGGCGAAAGACTGGAATAGACATTTCACCTAAGAAGACTTTAGGACAGCTAATAAGCAAGTGAAAAGATGCCCAGTTACCATTAGTCATTAAAGAAGTACAAAGTCAAATTTCATTAAGATATTCTGTCACATCATTAGGATGGGTAAAATTAGGGGAAAAAACAAACAAAACAACAGGTAGTAACAAACATTGGTCAGAATGTGGAGAAAGAGGAACCCCACATAGTGCTAGTGGGTATTTAGATGATACAGCCACTTTGAGGAACTCTGTCAGTTTCTTAAAAGTTTAAACATAAGTATATCACACAACCCAGAAATCCCACTCCTAGGAACTTACCCGAGAGAAATGAAAACGTGAGCAAAGACTCGCATGTTTATCACAGCATTACTCCCAACAGCCCGAAAGGGCATACTCAAATGTCAGAAACCGATGAATGACTGCACAGACTGGTCTATGCAGACAACGGAATACTAGTCAACAATAAGAGGAGTGAAACACTGACATTGTTGTGCTACAACATGGATGAAACCTGAAAACATCATGCTACATGAAAGAAGTCACATATAAAAGAACATGCTGTGTATGGTGCCACCTGCACGAGATGCTAGGAAAGGTGAGTCTGGAGAGAGAGAGGGTAGAGCAGTGCATTGCTGGGGCTGGATGTAGACTACGGCAAGAGCTTGAGGGTCTCAGAGGTGATGAGGATGTTCCAAAGCTGGAGGTGGTGTTGGCTGCTGCACTAGGTAAACTTATGAAAAATCACTGATTTGTACAGTAGAGATGGGTGAATTTTTTTTAATTAATTAATTTATTTATACAAGCACTGGGTACAGTCAGAAGCGCGGGAGGGTGAGCGAATCCACCGAGCCAGAGTGGGGAACAGAGCAGGCAGAAGGACCGAAGTACACTGCTGAGGGGAGCAGCGGGTGGCAGGAGAGGTCTGTCATGCCATGTGGGACCCTCCTCCAGTGGCCGGGGAGCAGCCAGGGATCGAACCGGCACTGCAGAGGCTGCGGGCAGCCTCGCAATCCAGCGCTCAACCGTTGCGCCACCGGGGAGGCCCTGGAGATGGGTGAATTTTACACATAATGTACCCTGATAAAATTTTTCAGAACAGGTCTCTGAGGCCTAAATGATACCCAAGTAGCAAAATAAAAGAAAAAATGAATACATAAAATCAGAGGTGAATGAAAGAGAAAACTAACAGAACACCAAATAAAAAACAAAGTTTGGAAAGACAGTAACACAGTTATCAGTTATTATAAACCTGAATAAAAGAAGCAAACAAATTAGAGAAGATAAAGGAGCTTTAAATCTAGTTCCCACATCATTTCTATCTTCTACAACAGGGACACACGGCTCCCTAGTCAAATGGCTGACATCCAAAATGGGCAAAGTACCAGGAGAGCCCTGAACAACATGTGCCTCAGAAGCACTCAAAGACTGATGGGAGTCACGTAAGGAGGACAAGAAGCCAACTGGAAAGATCCAATGGGTCAAATCTGGGTCACTCTGAGGAGCAAAATAACAAAAGACAGAAATGCATAACGAGTACACTAAATTTTCAAGAGTTCATAAATACCAATTATACTAAAAAATAGGGAGGGGAGGTTCTTTGAGTAGGAGACAGCTTTTAATACAGAGAGAATGATAGAATTACATTTAAAAAATTTTTCTTTAATTCTACAACTTTGCAACTCCCAGCAAAAATACTGATTTGGGTCAAGAATCATTCATTAGTAGATGGGGAAAAAAAAACCATTTTGTGAGAGGTTGCTAAGGAAAAAGATTTTCACATGATCTCCAATCACAACTCCAAGGATTGCTTTCTAATTACAAAGGGAAACATATTTTTGCAAATGAAGAAAACAGATGGTCATTATCTTAACCAAATGATGCTGCATCACCAGTAGCAGGACAGCCTGGTGCTGCAAGCCTCCTGGTGTAATGCAAAGGAAGAGGGGTCGGCAGACCAGGGCCTCCAGACCAGAAATAGGCTGTGCCTGTTTTTGGATAGCTCACAAATTAAGACTGGTTTTGCATTTTTAACTGTTGGTCGGGAAAAAAAATAATCAAAGAATAATTTCCAGATACATGAAAATTAAATAAAATTCACATTTCAGTGCCCATGTTGAGCTGAGGAAGCTCTGAGTGCATATGACCCACAAAGACTAAAACAGCATCCAGCCCCTTGCAGAAGTGTGCTGACCCTATAAGGGAGAGTATACAAGATCACTTAGAAGGCATTCTTGCTTAGATGTTTACTTTCAATCCAATCACTAGGAAAGAGGAAACAGACAAATCTAACAATGTGAGACACAAAACAACTGGCTGGATGCTTGAAAAACTTCACTTAAAAGATACTTATCCTTATTCTGAGATGCATGTGGGAGTATTCAGGCATTCATAAGTGCCATGATTTCTGCAACTTACTTTCAAATGGAAAGAAATATGTGAGAAAGCGAGATAAGGTAAATGTGGCCAAGTATCTGGTGAACTGTGGGGTATACAGCTGGTGAACGTGGGGTATATAGGTGTTCATCATGCCAGGGTTCCAACATTTCTGTGGGTTAAACTTCTCAAGATAAAAAGCTGGATGAAAAAACAAACCCTTTATCTGTATATTAATTTTAAGAGCTCATTACATATCTATTTGATTTTTATCTTACTATTTCACAGATATCAGATGAATGACTTAGCTTCACAAAACCCCACACACTATTAGAAATAGCTAATATTCCCAATGCATAAATGGGAACCAGAGGTTGAGGCTGAAGGGCCTGTAATACAGAGCTAAGATTAGATTTTGACTTTCTTGATAAACAAGCGCTAAAGAAACAGAACAAAACAAAAAAAAAACTAGAATATTTAAGGTATGGTTTTAAAGTACGGTTTTAAGAGTGTGGTGACATCATATATTTTCTATTTTCCAGGAGCAAAGAAGAGCTCCTTCAGGCCCAGGATCATACCACAAGTCTCCTACTGGTTTCCTGTCACTAACTAACAGGCATTTAGAGGCCTGAGTTCAAATGCCCTTGACTCATGAAGAGATCTGGATTACCACAAGGTCTCATGCTACCTTCAAGTGTTTCAGGAGTTCTCTGCCTAGTTCACAGTCCAACTTGATGGCAAACACAATATGTAGAATAACGGTGCCTTCCACATGGCGCAGTTCACCTGATGGCATGGTAACAAGATCCAACAGCCTGAAAGATTCAACAGGAAAGCATGAGCTATGGTTTGTGCAAGAGACCAGATGAACAAACATATCAACTCAACCTAAACCTATGCCATCACTGAAGGCCAGCAGCAAATACAAATTCTACTGCCTCATTCACTGTTTCTACAATAAAACTTCCTCAAAGAATTGTCTATAGCCATCATTTCCACTTTACTTTGTCCCAATCAAATCCAATTCAATTAGATTTGAATGCCATCTGACAGTTCTTGCAAGCATTACAAAATGACCTCCATGGTACCAAAACCAGTAATCAAGTCCTATCTTAATTAATGTCTCTGCAAATTTGACATGGCTGACCACTTCTTTTTTGAAGCACTTTCCTCTCTTAGCTGAGGGGCACTGTCACTGGCTTCTTCTCAATTTGTTTTGCTGGCTCATCTTTCCTTTAAATAGTGGAATGCTTCTAAACTCAGTCTTGGGTTTCTTTTCTGTCCACAATTTCTCTAATTGACCCCATTTAGTTCTATGAGCTTAGTCGCTCCAAATCTATCGCCAGTCCTGACCTCTCCCTGTAGCTCCAGCCCGCCTGGTCAACACCTCCATATGGATGTTACCACACGTGTCAAACTTAGTGGAACTTACTTACCCCTAAATCTATTTTCCTGTCAGCCATTCCTAACTCAGGCCTTTGACAGAAGTGAAACAAATGAAAATCACTGTAGATCAGAAGCAGCAGGCTGCACCAGGATTGACAATATGAATTCTGCAGCCAAACTGCTTAGATTCAAACCCCACCTCCATCACTTTATAACCCTGGGAAATTTATTTTCTCTCTGCCTTGGCTCCTACATCCATAAAAGAGGCAAAAGAGAGTTGTTGTGAGGTTTAAAGTGCTTACTTAGAACAGCATCTGGCACAGAGTAAGCACTCCACAAAGAACTGCTTTAAAAAGCAGCTTTATGAGCTTTAAAATGTTCATTCTTGGATATGCATGCTGGGCCTGCCTTTGTGCTAACTGTTCCACTACTTGAGAACCTTCTTTTTCATGACCTACATATTGAGGCTCTTATCATTCAGGCTGCAATTAAAATCACACCTTCTCAGAGAGGCTTTCTCTGACCACCTGATGCACAGTGGCACTCCTGTCTCTCTCACATCATCAATTTGAACTATCTGCACAGCCACTGCAACAATAATATTTTGTTGTTGCTTATTTATTTTCTGTTCTAACTAAAATTTAAACTCCAGGAAAGCAGGGACCTTGCCTGACTGGTGCATCACTGTAGTCTTTGGGTCAAATAGTTTCTGGTGCAGAGCAGACATTTAATAACTTAAATTTGCAACTTACAGAAAATTATTGCTGTTTTCCTGAGAATGGACAAATGAAACAGCCGAAAAGGTTGCTCTATGCTTGAACTTTTTTTCTTTTTACAGTATTACTGAGCAGTTAGCAGAGGACTAGGAAAGTTCTTTTCTGACATAAAAGTAGAGCCGAAAGATTAATGATGAATTAACTAAAATATACAATGAGAAGATGAATTTATAAAAATGATTTCATTTCTAGTCTATAATACTCACTCATCACCACTCTGTTCCTCATTATGCTGCATATCCAGCTCATTGAAGAAAGCTATGATTCCTTCCAAAACCTTCTTTCTGCTTCCCTAAAAAAGTACAAAATAGTAAGATGACCCACACAAAAAGGGAGATAAGCAAGTTAAAGTACTTTTCATCTTAAAGGATTATGGAGTACAAATTTAACAAAGTACAACTGAGAGTCACACTAGGAATGTATTAGAACACTTCCATGTTGAATTGGTGTGAAATACATCTCAGCGCCAGGTTCCAGGGGTCTATAGTCAGCGCTTTGAGATTGCGATCCCTTCCAGTACCACACACAGAAAATGTGGTAGAAGAAGAGATAATGTACAGTTTCCTCAGATGAGGAGCATGACCTTTTCCACTAGATCAACCATCACACATGAAATAAAAGCAGCAATGCCACAGCAGGAAAACCAAGAGTGTGAATAAGCTAATAACTGGTCCTAGTTAAAGAGAAACGGTATTTTTATTTGTACCTTTGAGGAGACGATCAGAAGCTGATAGACCAAAGGTGGTATTTCTTGAAGATTAAGCATGGAGAACATCTTCAACACTTTTTCAATCACAAATTCCACCTCTTCTGCAGTCAGGGGGACATCCCTGTGAGTGAAAGATACTAAAGGCCAAGACCAGAGACTAATTTGGGAAATATTAAAATATTATAACTCTCTTTTTGTTTTCGTTTTTTTTTCCCTCTAATGGAGAACCTCAAAGAAGACCAATAATCTTATCTAAGCAAAGTCACCGTGTGGGGGAAAAATTAATTACAAACAAAACCAAAAAAAGAGGAGAGGAAATCCTGTAATGGAAAACAGGGATGTCAGCATGTTTGCTTGCGGGTGGGGAGAGTAGTGTTTGAACTTCCTACATCTCGGTTCCTAATAGGATGTAAGAAGAGGGAATGATGCTTACTTGAACATGGAGATGAGCTGGATTACATATTGCTGGTCCCATCTGGTTAAAGAAGAAGACAAAAGATATCAAAGTTTATCTCACTTTAATTACTTACACACTACTTTGTAAAATCAGTAAGGAAGAAAAATTGTAGCGCCACTTCAAGTGATTTGGCACAATTCAGACAATGAAGTAACAGCTTTTAACCTTTTTTTTTTTTTTTTTTTTTTTTTTCTTTTAACCTATTAGACTGACAAAACCAAAACCTGATGATACTCAGTGCTGATAAAAACAAAACAAACACTTTCACATACTGTTTCAGGGAGTGTACACTGATAAAATGCTCAGAGATGTTGGCAATACATATCAATTTTTAACAAGCACATAACACACAGACCCACCCAGCTTACTATTAGAAAAATATCTCATTTACATGCTTGCTAAAGTTCACCTAAACAGATAATGATATTTAATGTTAACACTTTCTATAACAGCAAAAACCAAATAACCAGACTTACTGGGAAAAAACAATCTAACAATTGGAGACTGGTCAAATAATAACAGCATACCACAGGACTGTTACAAAGAATGATGTAGTTGTATGTGTCGACACGAATAGAACTATTACATGAAAATGACAAGGTATGTTACAGCGTGTATCGAATAAACACTGTAATGAAAAAAAAATTAGTAAATGGATCAACATACATGTACTGATACATGCCTAAATTTATATTAGGAATCATATGCAAGAAGTCATAAAGCACTTATCTCTGGCTTAGATAATCTTGAAACAGTATTCCCTTTCGGTTCTTTCTGACAGACCCAAGCATAATCCTAGTATTACATAACTTAATAATTTGGCATTCTCTATATTTCACTGATTATACAATATTTTTCTATGATGCACATCTTTATAAATTTCATTTTTTAAAAAAGATTTATTTATTCATACAAGAGCCACCAGGGAGGACCCTTTATATATTTCATTTTTTTTTTAATTTTTTTTTTTATAGAGGCATGTTTTTTATTTATTTGTTTGTTTGTTTGTTTTGTTTATACATGCACTGGGTACAGTCAAAAGCGCGGGAGGGTGAGAGAATTCACCAGAGCCAGAGCAGGGAGCAGAGAAGGCAGAAGGACCTAAGTACACTGCTGAGGGGAGCAGCGGGCGGCAGGAGAGGTCTGCGCACCATGTGGGACCCTTCTCCGGTGGCCGGGGAGCAGCCGGGGATCGAACCGGCGCCGCAGAGGCCGCGGGCAGCTTCGCAACCCAGCGCTCAACCGCTGCGCCACCGGGGAGGCCCTATATATTTCATTTTTAATGAATACAAGTTTCATGAAGTAATTCTACCTTAACTCACATAGCTCATATACCATAACTGACACATCTCTCTATTATGTGTATTTAAGTTGGTAAAAAGTTTTGGTGTTGAGGGGTCTCCCTGGTGGCACAACAGGTTAAGTCACAGCACTATGAAGCTGTCCGCAGCCATTGTAGCACGAGTTCAATCCCAGGTAAGGGAGCTGACCCACATGGCACAGCAGACCTCTCCTGTCTCCCCACTGCTCCCCTCGGCAGTGGATTTCAGTGGATCGGCCTGTTCTGCTCCCTATCCTGTCTCTGTCTCTCATCGCCCTCCCACCTCTGGCCTATACCCTAGCTCTTGTATGCATAAATAAATAAAATAAACCTCAAAAAAATTGGTATTGAAATGTTTGTACAGTTATAAGAACAGTCAAGATAAATAGAAATTATACAGAGATATAGAACAGAGAATATAGTAAATAAACTCAAAAATTCATTTCAGACTAAATGGTTTCATAGCAGTAGTGTTATGAAAAAAAAAATCAGACTAAAAAAACCTCAATGATACAAATTCCTGCAATAAATGCTAATTCTTTTTGGCCACTTGTGGTCCTGAGATAGTTCCACACATTAATGAGACTCACCTGCCAGAACAGAGGGTGTTAATCAACTGCTTCTTACATTCTTCTCCATTCAGTTCACCTAATAATGCAAAAAATACACTAAGAAATAAATTTAGGGGCCTCCCCGGTGGCGCAGTGGTTGAGCGCTGGGTTGCGAAGCTGCCCGCAGCCTCTGCAGCGCCGGTTTGATCCCCGGCTGCTCCCCGGCCACCGGAGGAGGGTCCCACATGGCGCGCAGACCTCTCCTGCCGCCCGCTGCTCCCCCAGCAGTGTACTTCATCTGTCTGCCTGTCCTGCTCTTTGCTCTGGCTCTGGTGAATTCTCTCACCCTCCCGCGCTTCTGACTGTGCCCAGTGCTTGTATAAATAAATAAATCTTTAAAAAAAAAAAAAAAAATATAGGAGGATTTAAAAAAAAAAAAGAAAGAAATTTAGTTGAATAAAGAAAAAGCCATTAAAGTTCAAAGAAACCTACCTTTTTCGTAAGTTATAGTTTCCCTTTTGGTAGCAAGGGCAGAGAGAATGACAGGTAGTAACTCCAGCGATTTTCCATTCTTTAGGTTGCCCTCCTTGACAGCCCCAACAAACTCACTGGCTAATTCAACCAACAAAGGTCCTGGAAAATTGTGAGCCTACAAGTTCATGGGATAAAGAAAATGTTAGGCAGAAACCTAAGTGTTTGATATCCCTGAGAAATAGCCTTTTGCTGAATTAACAGAATTACCACTGGAACCCAGATCTGATCCTGTAGGTGTCCATGGCTCCTTCTGCTGTAATACAAACTTATAATTGCAAAGAATTTTAAAGGTCAGAATTCTCTAGCCGTGATGTTCTCAGATATGCCACCTCTTCACTGAGAAAGTGTTCACGAGACCAGACACATAAATCGTAGGTGGCTTATGGCCCATCTGCCTACTGTTCTGCTCTTTAGCAGCAGCTCTTACTCATAAATAGGAGCTGGGCTAGCTTATGTAGTTTGTTCCCTCAATAAACTTATCTATAAATTCCCCAAATCTACCCAAACCAAAGATTTTCCCACCTTACCTCCAGCATTAGTATTCCTATGATCTCAGAGGCTATTTCTTTCTGCAAATCCCCCGATTCCACCAACTGGATGCAGCAAGTGTATATTTTGCGTCTCCGAAGAGCTCCAGTCTCCTCAGAGCAGGGGGAACCTTATTGTTTTCAACAGGTGGTAAAGAGACAAAGAGATAAGTCTTACAAGTTTGAATGGCAACTTGGCAGGGGGAAACAGCTTTGGTGTTTGATTTAGAAAATGGAATTATCAAACTACCAATTACAAGGTCATCTCAGTAGACAGAAGAGAAACATTTAAATAATCTGAGACCCAAGGCCCTAAAAACACTCAACAATCTAGAGAAAAAGATGGGAACTCCCTTTACCTAATAAAGGGCATCTATGGGGAAAAACCACAGCTAACATCATACTCAATGATGAAAAATCAAAGATTTCCCTCTAAGGACAGGAACAAAACAAGATGTCCATCTCCTGCCATTTCTATTCATTGTATGGAGGTTTCAACCAGGATAGTTAGGTAAAAAATAAATAAAAAGTACCCATAATTGTAAAGGAAGAAGTAAAAGAAGTAAAATCGTCTCTATTCATGAATGACATAATCTTATATCTAAGAAATCCTAAGGAATCCATACACACACACAAAAAACTATAGAGCCAGTAAAATAAGTAAAGGAAGGTTGCAGGATAAGAGATCAACACACAGAGGACCACTGCATTTCTATACACTACAATGAACACTTAGCAGAAATTGGTAAGCTGATGTTAAAATTCATATGGGGACACAATGGACCCAGCACTCACATGTATCAATTTTAAAATATGCTCCAAAGCTATGCTAATCAACACTGTTGAGGTGACATTTGGAGAGACGTGTAGTTCAAGTGAATAGAACTGGGAATGGAGGAATAACCTCTCACATTTATAGAGTACTGATTCTCAATAAGAGTGCTATTAAAAATGGGGACAGCTCTTCCCTTTTGTGGTAACAGCTGAAGAATCAGTGGCTAAAATGAAGTTTAATCCCTTTGTGATTGTAAAAGGCACTTCAATGCACTGTCCCACATTCATAGGAAGATATTCTGTCTTCCCCTCTTCCCAAAGAGCTGAGACAGACGTTCAATGTTCAGCCCGTGTCATCCAGAAGGTTAAGTGAGGACACTACAAAGGGCAGCAAAGTGGCAAAGTGGCCCAGGTTTCCAGGAAGAAATGTGTCCCCTTCACGGACCTGTGCAGTGGGAGAGGCGAGTAGCGCCACTGTCCAAGTGGACGTCCACCCCAGCAAGGGGCCATCAGTGGACTAAAACTGGACAAAATCAGGCTTCCCTGGTGGCACAGCGGTTAAGTCAGTGCTTTCAAGCTATCAGCAGCCATTACAGCATGAGTTCGATCCCCAGCCGGCCAGGGAGCTGGCCCACATGGCGCAGTAGACTGCTCCTGACTCGCTCCCCCTGCTCCCCTCAGCAGTGTACTTCAGCAGATCTGCCTGTTCTGCTCCCCACTCTGTCTCTGGAGAATCCTCTCACCCTCCACATCTCTGGCCTACACCCCAGTTCTAGTATGCATAAATAAAAATGAATCTTCCCAAAAAAATAAAAAGTAAAATTGGACAAAATCGCAAAAAAAGCCTAGAATGCAAAGTCAAATCTGCCAAGTAGGAAAGGAAAAGGGCAAATGTAAGGAAGAACCAATGGGAAAGATGCAGGAATAAAGTTGTTTTACATACATTTTTCATAAAAATGCTAAAATGGAAAAATATGGGGAAAGTTGAAGTTGTACTACTACTCAGACCATATACAATAATTAACTTAAAATGGACCAGAGATCTAAATAGTAAAGCTAAAGTTACATAAAATTTTGTCTTAATTAAATTACATAAATCTCCATAACCCTGGATTAAGCAATAGTTACTTAGATATAACACTGAAAATATAAACAACAAAAAAATAAAGCTGGACATCAAAATTTAAAACTCTGTGCTAAAAAAAAATGCAAACGAACCCAGAATGTGAGAAAAATTTTACAAATTATGTATTTAATAAGAGGCTTCTATTTAGAATACAGTAAACAATTACACCCTAATTTTAAAAATTAGTTTATAATAATTATGATAGTTTTTATAAACAATTATTTCACAATAAAAAGACCATTTTTTTCTTAAAGTGCAAATGGAGACCTCCCTGGTGGAGAAGGGGTTGAAGTCTCACAGTGCTATCAAGCTATCACCAGTCACTGTGGCATGAGTTCCATTCGCAGCCAGGGAGCTGACCCACAGGGTGCAGCAGACCTCTCCTGCCTCCCTGCTGCTCCCCTCAGCAGTGTATTTTAGTCAGTCTGCCTGCTCTGCTCCCCACTCTGTCTCTGAATCCTCTCACGCCCCGCCCCCACCTCTGGCCTACACCCCAGTTTTTGTACGCATAAATAAAATCTTTTTTAAAAAAGTGCAAATGGGGCCTCCCCGGTGGCGCAGTGGTTGAGCGCTGGACTGCAAAGCTGCCTGCAGCCTCTGCAGCGCCAGTTCGATCCCCGGCCGCAGGAGAGGGTCCCACATGGCGCGCAGACCTCTCCTGCCGCACCCTCTGCTCCCCTCAGCAGTGCGTTTCATCAGTCTGCCTGTTCTGTTCCCCGCCCTGGCGAATCTTCTCACCCTCCCGTGCTTCTGACTGTACCCAGTACTTGTACAAATAAATAAATAAATCTTAAAAAAAAAAGAAAAGTGCAAATGTCTGATTAGACATTTCTCTAAGGAGAGTCAAAAAGCCAGTAAGTATATCAAAGGATTCAAAACTAAAACGAGGTACCACAAGGATGGCTAGAATAAGAGACAATAACAAGTGCTGGGAAATCAGCATCCTCACCCTGGGCTGTTAATGTAAACTGACAAAGTCACTTTGCAAAACCGTCTGGTGCTGCCCCTAGCAGTTAAGCAGAGTTACTCTATGATCTAGCAGTTTCATCCTTAGAGATATACCAAACAAATGGAAACATGTGTCCACACAAAAATCTGTTACACATTTCAGGGCTACATTATTCATACCAAAAATTGGAAACAACCTAAATGTCCATCAACTCATCAATGGAAAAATGTGGTAAGTTCATACAATGAAATTCATACAATGACTAGAAATGTGAAGCAGTGATACGGGTTACAACAGGGATGAATCCTGGTAACCTTACCTCAGTGAAACAAGCCATCCATAAAGGACCTTATATTACATGACCCCATTTACATGACACATGCAGAATGGGCCCAGCAAGAGTGCTTTCTTAACGTTAGGAGCATTGGGAGAGGTGACAGTGATGAGGTACAGTTTCTTTTAAGAGTAATAAAAATATTCTTAAAAATGATTGTGTGATGGATACACTAAAAACCACTGAACTGCATAATGGAAGTGGGTGAAATGTATGACATGTCAGTCATATCTCAGTTAACAACTGCACACTTCAAAAGGGTGACTTTTTTACTATGTTGAGTTATATCCATTTTTTTTAAAGATTTATTTATTTATGCATCCAAGAACTGGGGTACAGGCCAGAGGTGTGGGGGGTGAGAAGATCACCAGAGACAGAGAGGGGAACAGAACAGGCAGATTGACTGAAATACACTGCTGAGGGAGCAGCGGGTGAGTCAGGAGAGGTCTGGGTGCCATGTGGGTCAGCTCCCTGGCTGGGGATCGAACTCATGCTGCAGTGGCTGCCGATAGCTTCATAGGTTGCGTCTTAACCCCTTGTACCACCAGAGAGGCCCTATATCCAGTTTTTAATAATGTCATCGTAAGCTAACTATTGATCTTTTACATCATCAATTTAACAGGATTAAAACAATACTATAATTCACACTACTTTTAAAACTGGGCTTTTCAAGTGTTTTTTAATTAGGTGGAAAAAGCCAGCTATGCCCCAGGTTAGCCCATCCAAGAGAAAAGTTACTAGTGAACTAGTGAAACTGACTGTTAACTGTTACTGTGATTCACTACAAGGCAGCTGCGTCTGCTTTTTCAGTATTTCCTTTCCTCTAGTATTTCTACAAAAAGTCATTTAGCAAGTTTCCAAAAGGTTGACTCAAGCAATTTTTGAAATTTTTTTTCATGAATAGGAAGATCTGTTTTTGTACTTTTACAGTGAAGACCCAATTTACTTCAAGGAAGAAAAACTAACCAAGTTAAAATAATCTATGAAGAATCCAAAGTCACTTTCAATGTCTACCTTGTGGAATTTTATCCTATCACCATTTATAAAACCATTGTGAATCATAACCTGCAGTAATATAGACCCAGCCTTTGTTCACAACACAGGAACAAATACAGCACACTGGGAATTAAGAATCTATATAAGGCACCCAAGATACTCCATTTCATTAAACCTGAAGAGTTCCCAGTTCCTCCCTGCTTCAGCACAGACTAAGCACTAGACATTTCTGTTTTCTCCACAATTTTAAAAGCACAAGGAAACCAAAGTAGATTTTATAAAGCGAATGGGCACTTTACAGGTGCCCAAACCAGCAATACAATCTCAGGTAGCTACTTCAACCCACTTCAGTAAAATGGTTTAAGTCCACAAGACAAGAGATTGCTGTTTTAGCTAAATCTGTAGACTCCCAAACACACAGAAAATGTCCCAGTGGGGCTTCAAATAGTTAGAAAAATAACAATGTGTGCCAAAAGTAAACAAATCTAACAATGAGCCCAGGGGAAGTAGAAGTGGCCTTAATTATTATTACCTTTGAAGATGGCTCTCAGGAGGGCTCCGGCAGCCTTTCCCTTCAAGGCCTGATTCTGCAGGAGATCAGCCAGCTGCAATCAAAGGGAAAGCTGTACAATTTCGCTGACCCAACAAGCTAAATCCATGCGATGAAACACTTAGCTACCAGGTTCAAATTATTCCGAGACTCCAGGTATCACAAATACCATATTTATTTAAACAGAGCAGGATAGATCTTAATATAATGCTGGGATGTCAGGACTGAAATTTACTTATACACTCACTCTACAAACACTTCCTAAGTATTTAATCAGCACTGGGTATTGAGTTGTGTTGTTGAATATATACTCAACAAATACTTTTTTTTTTTGAAGATTTATTTATTTATTATTTATACAAGCACTGGGTACAGTCAGAAGTGTGGGCGGGTAAGAGAATTCACCAGAGCCAGAGCAGGGAGCAGAGCAGGCAGACTGATGAAACACACTGCTGAGGGGAGCAGCGGGTGGCAGGAGAGGTCTGCATGCCATGCGGGACCCTCCTCCAGTGGCCGGGGAGCAGCCGGGGATAGAACCGGCACTGCAGAGGCTGCGAGAGCAGCTTCACAACCCAGCGCTCAACCGCTGTGCCACCGGGGAGGCCCAACAAATACTATTTTAGCATGTTCTCTTTCCTAAGCACTAGGGATACAAGGATGAAGAAGAGGAACATGGTAATCTGACTCAGTTTACAGAAGAGAAAGAAAACACACAGAAACATATATATATATATGCAAAGAAACAAGAGACAGACATAATAACTAAGGACGGAAGAGGAGTACATGTTTATTTATTTATTGTTGTTTTTATTTATGCATACAAAAGCGGGGCACAGGCCAGAGGTGTGGAGGGTGAGAGAATTCACCAGAGACAGAGTGGGGAACAGAACAGGCAGAATGACCAAAGTACACTGCTGAGGGGAGCAGCGGGTGAGTCAGGAGAGGCCTGCTGCACCATGTGGGTTGTTCCCTGGCCGGGGATCAAACTCATACTGCAGTGGCTGTGGACAGCTTCATAGGTTGCGTCTTAAGCCCTTGAGCCACCAGGGAGGCCCAAGGAGTACATTTTTAAAAAATTAATCTTAGAATACCTAGAGATAAATTTAACCAAGGAAATGAAAGACCTGTATTGAAAACTATAAGACACTGATGAAAGAAACTGATTAAAAGAAGCGCTACCCTGTGATCATGGACTGAAAGAATTAATATTACTGAATGTCATGCTACCCAAGTCCTCCACGGATTTCTGATGTTGTTTTCATTGCATCTTAAAACATAACAGACAAACCAAGTAAGATGAAGTGTCCTTGTTATTTTGGAAGCTTTGAATTTTTCTTTTCCTTAAACTTGGTTGACCAGAACTACCGAGTTAATGGCATGGTCCAAAAAAGTATAGATTCTTTTTAAGAGAACAGCCCTCATTTTTGGTTATTCATTTCCTTTAGATTGAATTTACATATTCTCAGTCAGAACCCAAGTGATACTTTATCCTCAGAGATCACATCTGAGCATCTCCCCTCTCTGCCTGACTGTGACTATGCAGGCATCTGTCTTCTTTCCTCTTCCTAATAAATATGTCCTTTTAAAATGCAAAAAGAAAAAAGAAAAGAACATCACATCTGAAGGGTCCCATGCACCCCTCACTGAGAATGTCAATTCTGAGCAAATGGTACTGCCCAATTTTCCCACTGTATAATTAATTTCCCCATCCTTTTGCAGTAACTGGTAAGAATACACTGTAAGATCATGCAAGCATCCTGCTCCTCTCTATAATCTCCCCTCATCTAATGGAAAAATCCAGCAGTCAGTGTCCCCAAGAATGACACTGGCATTTGGAGCTCCGTGACATGACACAGTGAGAAGAGGACGGCGCCATCTCCACAGTCCTTTCCACCAGGGCCGCATGACCTCAACTCAATGAGATGATACCACAGGCCCTGCTTGAGGGACATGCAACCACTTGATACTGCTCAGGGTTATCGAGCTCACGAGACAAAGAAAGACTGAGAACAGATTGTAGAAAATCAGTGGAAAATAACAATTAAGTGCAATGTGGTCTCCTTAGTGGCATTCTGGAACATAAGGACAGTAAGGAAAAACTACAGGTAGCGTTCAAATAGGATTTTTTTTTTTTTTTAAGATTTATTTATTTATACAAGCACTGGGTACAGTCAGAAGCGCGGGAGGGTGAGAGAATTCACCAGAGTCAGAGCGGGGAGCAGAGCAGGAAGAAGGACCGAAGTACACTGCTGAGGGGAGCAGCGGGCGGCAGGAGAGGTCTGCACGCCATGTGGGACCCTCCTCCGGTGGCCGGGGAGCAGCCAGGGATCGAACAGGCACTGCAGAGGCTGCGGGCAGCTTCGCAACCCAGTGCTCAACCGCTGCGCCACCAGGGAGGCCCCAAATAGGATCTTAAGTTTTGCCAGTGGTACCATATCAACATTAATTTCCTCATTTTAAATTTTTTGCTAAGGCCAGTTAGATGCTAATATTGGGAAAGGGATACATGAAAACTCTATTATTTTCACTTTTCTATCAATCTGCAAGCAGTTCAAAGGAAAAGCATAAAAAATTTTCTCTGGAGTTAGCACTCTCATGCTTCTTGTCTAATTTGATCTTTATCATGATGGTGAAAATCATTTTCCAGTTTTAGCACTGAGAGCCCCTCCCATTTTTTATTAACGGTATGGACTCATGGGGGCCTCCCTGGTGGCACAAGGGGTTAAGCACCACACTATGAAGCAATCCGCACCTCTGCAGCATGAGTTCGATCCCCAGCCGGCCAGGGAGCAACCCATACGGTGAAGCAGACCTCTCCTGTCTCACCTGCGGCTCCCCTCAGCAGTGTGTTTCAGTCAATCTCCCTGTTCTGTTAACTGCTCTGTCTCTGGTGAATCCTCTCAACCCCCCCATCTCTGGCCTGTACCCCAGCTCTTGTATGCATAAATAAATAAATCTTTTAAAAAAACAGTATGGACTCATGAATATCCATTTTTCAATGGGTTAGAGATTGTAATTGGATTAATTATATTAATGTTGAAATGGTCCCAGGGTTGGCTGATGGAGTCCCTTCAAGCCGGTTATGTCCTCGTAACATGACCCCATTGTTTCTGAGCACGTCACCTTTAGGCATGACACAGTACTCCAGGCTCATCTTACACCCATTACACCACCTGCAAAATCAGTCATTTCTCCAAAGAGCTCTTGTCCCTTCTAGTGGGGAATGGTTCTCAGAGAACTGGGTGGTGGGTGTATTTGTTGCTACTGTGGCATCTCTGTTAGATCCGTGGGCAGAGCTAGGAAATACATGCATGTGTATGCCCACACATACAAATATACACATGCACAAATTTATATATAAATTTGAGAAACCCTGAGTTCAAGCAGTATCTCCATTTCTAATCTATGCCCACAGGGATTCCCTTGCTGTCCCACATCCCACAGTGCCCCTTCCACTGCTACACACACCATGACACCCAGAGCAGTACAACCTAGAACACACCTAGAATAGCTTCAGAACTGCTTCACCATACCACTACAATAGCCAATTCTACTTAAAACAAAACAAAACAAAACAAAACAAAACAAAACAAAAAAAGGTCAGGGCTGGGCCTCCCCAGTGGCGCAGCGGTTGAAGCGCTGGGTTGCGAAGCTGCCGGCGACCTCTGCGGCGCCAGTTCGATCCCGGCTGCTCCCCGGCCACCAGATGAGGTTCCACATGGCACGTAGAACTTCCTGCGCGCTGCTCTCCTCAGCAGTGTACTTCGTCCTTCTGCCTGCTCTGCTCCCCGCTCTGGCTCTGGTGAATCCTCTCACCCACCCGCGCTTTTTTTTTTTACCCAGTGCATGTTTATTTACAAACAAACAAACAACAAATAAATAAATAAATTAAATTTAAAAAAAAAAAAAAAAAAAAAAAAAGGTCAGGGCTTATGTGTGTAGTCCTGATAAACTGATTTTCCTTATAAAAATATAAAGATGCATCAACAGGCAATCTAATGCCTCACATCACTCTAGTTGGATATTACTTTCAGATGAGTGTTCTAAAACAATGAAAGTGTAGAAATTTGGCTATGTGTATTACAAATGTTATGCAATTACTGAAATGTACACATGCCCACAAAGTGACCATTTCTCTTCTCTCCCATTTCTTTATAACTATAAATTATTATCAAATGGACCTTGTGTCTCCTACAGGGTATGGAAGGGATGAAGCAGAATGTCACACTTTCTCTAACATGACCTTTGAACTCATTGTCATGCCTGACATGAACCTTCAGCAGAACAAGGTTCCTATTACTCACATCATCTCCTCTCAGGGTTTGAAGGAATTCCTGTAGTCTGTCTGCTGATTTTTCTGTTGCTAGAGATAAAATTTTCTGGTCCATTGTTGCACATATCAGGGACCTATAAAAGAAAAAATACCAGAATTGATGAAATTTCCAGAAGTATTGAAGCTTGATTTTCTCCCCTTTCTATAACTGAGTATCTCATACATATTATAGGTTATGTACTCGTGAATCCTCCTCAAACAAAGTTCGACTAACTATCTGAGTAGGTGATTCTTCTCCAAGCCAAAATAATCAGAATTCAGAATTCTCTATAATAATTCAGAATTCTCTAGAATTTCCTTATTAGGAACTTGGATTCTAATCAAGTGGTTTCATTAGCCCACATCTTCATATATATTTTTCATAGATGGTCAAGACACGAGTTGGTATACATTATACACCAGTGGGAACAGAGTATCATCAATATTCTTATGAGAATTTGAAAAACCTACTTGAGGGCCTCCCTGGGGGTGCAAGGGGTTAAACACCGCACTATGAAGCAATCCGAAGCCTCTGCAGCAAGAGTTCGATCCCTGGCCCTCCAGGGAGCAACCCACATGGTGCAGCAGACCTCTCCTGTCTTACCGGCTGCTCCCCTCAGCAGCGTATTTCAGTTAGTCTGCCTGTTCTGTTCCCCACTCTGTCTAGTGAATCCTCTTACCCCTCACATCTCTGGCCTGTGCCCCAGCTCTTGTATACATAAATAAATAAATCTTAAAAAAAAAAAAAAAGAAAAAAGGAAAAAAAAACCTACTTGGGAAAAGTGAGTAAATAGCCTGCGGTAGACAGTTCCTATGGGGGAGTGGGGAGTAGAAAGGCTAGAAAGGCCTAAAGGTGACGTTCTCACAGGCTGAGAACACGCTGTGCAAGGTCTTAAACGCCAGGTTACGGAATCTACTTGTAACTAACAGAGCACCCAAAATTTTTGGAGCAAAAGACAATCTGAAATAGTATTTGAGGAAAGTGAACCTGGCATGAATGTGTAGATGAAAGTGGGGAGGGATTAAGGAAAAGGAGCAGAGGCTAGACCTAATGGGAGCCACTGTAGTGGTGGTGAATGGGAGAAAAGAAAGGAGGCCAACAGTATCAGACTGAAGCGGGCTTTATTTAATGGATGCCTGTGAGGTGCACTCCCGGCTGCAGCAGAGTGAGAATCATGCCCGCAGACTGGAAAATGGGTCTTTATAGTGTTAGATTACTGTAGGGAATTTTTGGCAAGCGAGTGAGGGGTCTTCACTGTGGGAGGGGGTCTGCTGAAATTCTTTACTGCTGTCAGCTTATCTCCGGTGCCTCAGGTGCTGGGCAGTGAGGGTTTTACGAGTGGCCTGGGTGTGCTCTCCTCAGTAATAAAATTCTGTACTAGGGTGGTGACTCGAGAGAGTGGAAAGGAAGAGATGCAATGGAGTCACGTTAGGCAGACAGGATTTAGTGAGCAGCTATGGGAGTAAAGGGAGAAATGCAGATTGGTAGAAAACCTGCCCAGAAAATTAAAAAATCACTTCCCCAAAGAGGAAATGCAAATGGCCAATAGGCATATGAAAAAAAGCTCAACATCACTAATTATCAGGGAAAAGCAAATCAAAAGCACAATGAGATAGCACTTGACACCAGTGAGAATGGTCCACATTAAATAAAAGCAGAAACAAAAGCTGGCCAGGATGTGGTGATAAAGGAGCCCTCTTCTTACTCGGCTTGTGGCAAGGCAAACCCAGGTCCAGCCACTAGGGAAAGCCTGCGGAGGACCCTCACCACACTAAAAATGGCACTACCATATGACCCAGAGATTCCACTCCCAGGAATCTACCCAAAGGACACAAAAACACCGATTTGAAAGGAAACCTACACTCCTATGTTTACTGCATCACTATTTGCAATAGCTAAATTATGGAAACAATCAAAATGCCCCCAAATAGGCCTCCCTCGTGGCGCAGGCGTTAAAACAGCGCTATCAACCTGTTTCCAGCTACTACCACACAAGTTCGATCCCCAGTCGGCCAGGGAGCTGACCCACATGGCACAGATCTCTCCTGTTGCCCCGCAGCTCCCCCTCAGCAGTGTATTTCAGTAGATCTGCCTGTTCTGCTTCCCACTCTGGTGAATCCTCTCACCCCCTGCACCTCTGGCTTACACTCCAGTTCTTGTATGCATAAATAAATCTTTAAAAAATATATATATATATATATATGATTAGATTAAGAACTTCATCTCTCACTGAACTAGTTAAAACCTCCATGTCAGGGCCACCTCTGGTTTTACCAATGATTGCCCAGCACTTAGCACAGATAATTAACCCCTAATAGACAGCCAATCAAAATGAGTTGAACAAAGGAATTGTCGAAGCCCTGCAATGGGCCAGCCCTCCACTGTGGTCAATCTGATCCTCACTCCAATAATCCTCTGAGGGGAGGTGTTATTAGCCCCAATTTAGATGAAGAACTTTTGGGGTTCGGAGACTAAGGACTCTGCCCCAGGTCAGCTAAAGGCTGATGCCAGGAATGAGGAAGCCCACATAGAAAAAAACAAGATGGCCCTGACACCAGGACCCTTGACAAACAGGGGAAAAACAACCCTGCTCCATGAAAAACAACTTCGTTCTGCCTAAACCTGTTTCCCCCCCTGCCAACCCAGTTTTCCAGCCTAACCTCTCCTCACCCTATAAAAGGACATCTCTCCCCACAATGGGCGCGGCTTCAAAGGTGACCCCCACCTTGGGTCCTGAGGTTTGCCTGCGGCACAATAAATTTTCCCTTCCGAAATGCAAATCAAAACTACAATGAGATACCCCTCACACCAGTGACAATGGCACATATTAAAAAAACAAGCAACAACAAATGTTGGTGAGGTTGTGGAGAAAAAGGAACTCTCCTGCACTGCTGGTGGGAGTGCACACCCCGGCAACCACTATGGAGAGCTGTGTGATATCTTGACCTATTAAACATAGAGGTTCCATATGATCCAGCAATTCCACTTCTAGGTATTTACCCAAAGGACACAGAAACATTAACTCAAAAGGGCACCTGCACCCCTATGTTTATAGCAGCACTGTTTACAATAGCTAAGCTATGGAAACAACCCAAATGCCCAAAAATAGATGACTGGATCAAGAAGATGTGGTACATATACACCATGGAATATTACTCAGCATTCAAAAAAGATAAACACATGCAGTTTGCAGCATCATGGATGGCGCTGGAAGGGATCATGCTCAGCGAACTAAGCCAGAAAGTAAAGGAAGGGCCTCCCAGGTGGCGCAGCGGTTGAGTGCTGGGTTGCGATGCTGCCCGCAGCCTCTGCAGCGCCGGTTCGATCCCCGGCTGCTCCCCAGCCGCCTGCGAGGTTCCCACATGGCGCGCAGACCTCTCCTGCCACCGGCTGCTCCCCTCAGCAGTGTACTTCGGTCCTTCTGCCTGCTCTGCTCCCCGCTCTGGCTCTGGGGAATTCTCTCACCCTCCCGTGCTTCTGACTGTACCCAGTGCTTGTATAAATAAATAAAAATGAATCTTAACAAAAAAAAAAGTAAAAATACGGGATGGTTTCACACATATCAGGAATTTAGAAAACGATTAATTAATACAAAGTAAAAATCAATATCAACAACCAACTATAAACCAGAGACACACCACGGGTGGGGGAGGAAAGGGAAGGGAAGAGGAAGGACTAGGGTCAAAATAAGGGGGGGTGCAATTGTATGCGGAATATAACCAAAATGATAATGCATACATTGTGCAGAAATGAAAAATGATGTAAGAATTATATAAAATAAAATATTAATTTAAAAATTTAATATAAAAATTTTTTCCTTTCTTTGAGAAATTTAGCCTGGCTCTCCTTTTCTTTACCGCGCCGAACCTTTCAGTCAGGAGGCCAGAAAGAGCTGAACTCGGAGCCTGGCCCCAGACGCCAAGGTTCTGCCTCCTTCCCAACCCCCCGCCGCCGTCAGGGCCTGGGGGGCGGAGGACAGGGAACCCGCGGGCCCAGCGCAAGGAGCCCGGTGCAGGGGGATGAGCCGAGCCCGACCTCCGCCTGTCTCGGCGGGTACAGGCGCTCGGAGGCGGGCGCGCGGCAGCTCCCCTGCGCTCAAGGAGGCACCAGCCGGGCGAGACAAGCAGGTGGCGCGGGGAGCGGGGCTCGGGGGGGCCCCTGGACGGGAGGCGCTGGCCGGCCGGAGGGGCGGCCCGGGCAGCCCCCCGAGAGGAGGGCGGCGCGCAGCCGGGGCGCGCGGGGGAGCGCCTGCCCCGGGAGACACCAGAGCGCCCCTGCGGCCGGGAGCCCCGGTCCTCTCACGCCCGCCCCGGGGCAGGTCCCGCGGCGCCGTCCCCTCGGACTCACCACAGCCGCCGCCGCCGACTTCCAAAACTCCCGCGCAGCCGAACGCCAGCGCACTTCCGGCGCTCACGCCGCACGTCCCGCCCCCGCACTTCGGCGCTCTTCCCGCCGCCGGCCACGCCCCGCCGCCGGCCACGCCCCCGCCTCCCACTTCCGCCGGCGGCGCCTCGGGCGGGCCGCGAGCCCCATTGAGCATGCGCAGGCTGTGCAGTGGTGGGTGTGTGTGTGTGTCTATTACAAATGCAGTGTCTGGGCCTCCTTGGTGGAGCAAGAGGTTGAGTCTCAGCGCCATGAAGCTCTCACCAGCCACTGCGGCCTGAGTTCTAGCCCCGCCAGGGAGCTACCCACACGGCGCAGCAGACCTCTCCTCTCTCCCCGCTGCCCCTCAACAGTCTATTTCAGTACGTCCGCCTGTTCTGCTCCCCACTCTCTGGTGAATCCTCTCACCCTTCCCTCATTTGTTTCCTTCCTTTCTTCGTGGGACTATTTCAGACGTGTCCATCACCCCCTCTATTTCCGGCAGACGACTTCCAGGTCCCCTAAGCACCCCCACACCCCACACCCGCCACACAGGAACTTGGTGGGGGACACACTTTACTCAGGGAACCCAAGCACCCTGCTCATGAACCGCCAGCATCGCATCAGAACAACATCAGTCAACACTGACTGAGCATTTGCCTTCACGACTGTGGGGCACTTGCAGGCCACTTCACAGCACCAAGCCCGGAGCTGAGCACCACCACATCCCCACTTAACAGGGACCCGATTCTGGGGTGGGTAGGCGAGGAGCTGGGGTTCCCCAAGCTGCTCCTGTCGCTGGCCTTTCTGGCTGGAAGGCGGCGGGTTTACCCTGCCCAGCTCCACCTTAATCAGCTCCCATCTCCACTGGTATCCCTCAGTGGGTGACAGGCCTGGGTTCCCTCCAGTTAGCTGGCACAGCTTAGGGGAGGGAGAGGAAGCTGAAGTCCCAGGACTGTACTCCCTCTCAGCCTTGATGAGCTCCCAGTAGCTGGCAGCTGCTGGTCTGCGGAGGCTGAGAGGATGGCGCGAAGTGCCCAGCAGTGTACTGGTCCTTGCCTGCTCTGGTCCAAACGAAGGCATGTATAAACAAAGAAACAAACAACTTAAATAACATGCAAAAAAAAAAATAAAAAGATAAAAAACTTGATGAGAAAAGAAAAAAGAAACATAGATAATTAAAAATGAAACAAACTCTCCCTCTGGATCTTGCATGTCCCACCCTGGGGGGCTTTGTCAGACCCTGTGGGGAGGTGGAGAGCAGGCAGCAGAGGGAAAGGTCCCAGAGGCCCCCCCTCTTGCTTCCACATGGCTGAGCAGGACCTTGAGACAGCAGCAGCCCCACACAAAGGAGGGCTTTGAGGCGGCCCAGTCAGGCCCTGCTGAGTCCCTCTCCCCCGTGCTTGCCTGCCCCAACCTGGGCCTCCCTGTGAGCCTGACTTAACAGGGGAATGGTGAGCAGTTCCTTGTGACATGGTAATCCAGACCTGCTGACTGACACGCCCCCCAACAGAGGCAACATCTGGGTCCTCAGGACTCGGGCACCAGGTGGCCCCAAGGAGGAGCTGCTGACCTGGGGGTAAGTCAGTATCAGGGCTCAGCCTGACCAGGAAGTCCAGGACTGGGGTGAGGAGTCCGGGGTGGGGAGACCACAACCCAGACTGCCCCTAAAACAGAAACCAACAGGCCACACTCCAGGGTGAGGGGGACCAACCTGGTGGTGGGTTTAGCAGATGAAAACAAGATGCCCAGGTCAGTGTGATTTTCAGGTGAACAGCAAGTATAAATATACCCAAATATTGAAGGGGACATACTTACACATCAAAGAGATTTTCTGGTGATCTGACACTCACCTATAAATGAGTATTTGGTATTTTATCTGAACCTTAGGAGGCAGGGAACAGCCTTCACGTGGAGGAGGGGGTATGTTTTCCTTGTGTATACTTCGTAAGTCAGCTATATTATAGCCCATAATTAGCTTGGCTATATTTAGAAAAGTGTTACTGCACTGACTCTGCCTATTTCTGAGATGGAAGATCTTATCTTGATGGCTTGCGTAACTGGCTGGGGTGTCTGCCTGGTCTCCTGGCTGAGCTCCTGAGGTGGTTCCATTCCTGTTGCAGCAAAATCTGAAGTGAGAGCACAGACTTCAGACTGCTTGTCCTCTGCCCACGTATTTGGAAGTTCTCCTCCAGAGAGAGGGCTTGCGTGGGTTCCTGCTGGGGCAGTACAGCTCCCAGGACTTCCCTGCCTCTGGAGTTGTGGCATGAGAGAGGCGGACATGGGAAGCCTTCAGATCCTCCAAGTGTCCCAGTGCAAGTTGGGGTGATGGTCAGAATGATGCTGTGAAAGGGGAGATAACTGCCTTAGAGCAACACCTAGTGTCTGGTCTTCATTACAACTCTGGGCGGTGTCATTATTACCCCCAAGTTGCAGATGAGGAAACAGGCTCAGAAAGGCCCATTAACTTGCTGACGGTCACAGAGCAGTAAATGACAAAGCCAGATTCAAACCCAGTCTCTCTGACCCTAAGGGGTTTTCACCCTTCACCCACCATCCCAGTGAGTTTGCCTGGAGATGTCTTGGCTCCAAGTATCAAAGGTAGATGGTCTCAAGTTCCACCTGTGCCAACAGGTGACAGAATCGACCAATAGGAACCTGGTCAGAGGCACCTTGAAGGCACTTGGGGATGCTTTGAGGGAGAAAACAAAAAATCTGGAAACAGGAGCGTTACCTCCCAAAATCCTCAGTGGGCGAGCAGGTGAAGTCCATGGGTGATGGCTGGGATTTGTTTGGGTGGCCAAGTCCTGCTTATGTTTAGGTTACTGAATGAAATCGTCATAATTACAGCAGGCAGGACTCAGGTTAAAACACAAAACTTGCAGCTGGAAAGAGGCTGATTGCAATCCAGGTCCAATTTCTGCCACCCAGGACTTCCTCCCGCTGAGGAGAGGTGAAGTCAGAACTTGGGCATGAATCCTAATCCCTGACTAGTTTCTGACCGTGTGACCTTGGACAAGTCACTTATTCTCCAGGGTCTGTTTCTTGCTCAGTTAAATGGTAATAATCATGCCAGTCCCAGCTTGAGAGAATGGATTTGAATATGCTAAGTGCACCCCAAAGCACAGTGCATGCACCCAGCATGATGAGAGGTCGCCATGCCTCCTGAGGTCAGGGTCACCCTCTGGGGTGGGAGGTTTCTGAGGTCCCTCTTTGGGTGGAGGAGGGTCCGGACCAGAGGAGGGACCCAAAGATCCTGTGGCTGAGAAAGAAGGCCAACTCGAGGGTTTTCCTGGCTGGGTCGACTCATCTGGAAGAACTGAGGTTAGAGGTACAGCTGACCCTTGACAACACTGGGATTAGGGCTGTGATCCCCACACGATGGAAAATTTGAGTATAACATTTGACTTCCCCCAAACGAAGAAGCTGCTGTTGACCCAAGCCTTACTGAAAATGAAAGCGGTCGGTGAACACACATTTTTTCTGCTTTATGTACTATATGCTATATTCTTACACTAAGTAGAGGAAAAGTGTTAATTAGAAAATTCTAAGGAGGGCCTCCCTGGTGGCACAGGGGTTAAGTCTCAGCACTGTGAAGCTGTCCACAGCAACTGCAGCATGAGTTCGATCCCTGGCCAGGGAGGTGACTTACATGGCACAGCAGACCTCTCCTGACTCCCTGCTGCTCCCCTCAGCAGTGTATTTCAGAAGATCTGCCTATTCTGCTCCCCGCTCTGTCTCTGGTGGATCCTCTCGCCCTTGCACCTCTGGCCTACACCCCAGGTCTTGCATGCAAAAATAAATAAATCTTTAAAAAAAATCCTAAGGAGGAACAAGACATTTACATATTTATGGAAAAAAGTCCGCAGTTCAAATCTGTTGTTCAAGGGTCAACTGTATTTGTGTTTGTGTTTGCCCTCAAAGGAGTTTCACAAGGGGGAGCATCTCTGGTCATCTGGGGGCTACTTCAAAGTGTGGTTTTCTGGACGCCAGCCCAGACTTCCTGGGTAAGAATCACAGGTGCTGGGGCCCAGGCACCTGCATTTCTACCAAGTGTGACTGAGGCCCTGGTTCTGAGACCATCACAGAACCGTGCCTGTGACCTCAGCACAGCCAACCTCTCTCCCAGGGAACCCGCCTGCAGAGACTGGGGTGGAGGACACAGGCCCTTCCTCTGCCAGGGACTCCAGGTCATCCAGAGCAGCATGTCAGAGGAGGTGGGTACCCCTACACCTTGGGGCTCCTCTTTGCCCTCCCCTCCTTCCCTCAATCCCTCCCTGCTTCCCCTACATCTGGTCTGCTCAGGGGTACCAGGCATACGGGCACTCACCCACAACCTCCCTGCAGTCCCCATCCAAAGGGAGGGGCAAAGGCACTGACCTAGGGTGTGAGCAGGCCCTTGCAGCTGGCAGCCCCCACTAATGGGGCCTGCTCCTGCTTTGTCCTAACTCCCTAGGCGGGCACGTTCCGCATGGTCTCTGAAGAGGAACAGGCGCTCCGAACCCAGCTGGACCGGCTTACCACCAAGGACCACGGGCCTGTCTTTGGCCCATGCAGCCAGCTGCCCCCCCACACCTTGCAGAAGGTGAGGTGGCCCTGGGTGCTGGGAGGGGCACTCTGGGGAGGCAACAAGTTTGGAATGTGACCGGTGCTACCGTAGAAGTCAGGGCCCTGGCAGCAACAGGTCAGCCTGATCCGAACCACAGCAGCACCACAGTGAGCCCTGGCAGCAGTGCCCGAGCCTAGGGCCCCTGGACCAGGCTCATCCTGGATTTGTAGGTTCGAGGCACCAATTTGCCCAGCTGCTGCCCTCTGGACAGGCAAGAGGCCTGAGTCCTGGGATCACATCTACCTCCAGCGGGACTGGCTTTCCCTCCTGGGCCTGGCCTTCTGTGCCTGTGGAGGACGCTGCTGGAGCTGCCCAGACAGGACCAGACTGCCCTGGGGGG